CTTGTTTGAAGTGAGTGAGTAAGAGTCGGAGCTGACCTTGTAAAATCTTGGAATAATTAAGATTTAAAGTGCAGTGTTACTTAAAGGCCCTTGTTCAGCATTCAGAGCGTTCAGCGTCAGTCTGAGGACTTCACTCGCTCGTCTCCAGTGACTCGAGACTTACATGAAAGTTCATTCAGTGGGCGAGCGTGTGCTCCACGTTTGTGAGGAATAATTAGCTGTTGACCCTGAGATCACAACATTTTAGGCGCCTCCTCTTGTTCCTGTGGAAGTCAGGATGGTTTGGTCATTTTCTGCTTGGTCCAATCCGTCCAACAAAACATGTTTGAGGATCAGGTCTTAAGGTTAGGGTTATATTAGGGTCAATGAGGGTCATCACAAGTTCAGAACACGCTCGTATTCATTCACTTTTCCTTTTACAGCTTTTAAAGCTCCATGTTTCTTCTTCTTCTGTGTTTTATTTGAAGTGTTGATCCATCAGAAGATATAAAAACCATCTCAGTGTAGTTTTACATCTCCTCTCTCAGGCTTCTCTCTGGAGCTCTAGTAACGACAGGTCGGTGAGCCAATCAGAGGAGAGGAGGCTCTGAACCTCTCTTCTGATTGGCTGACTGTTTTCTGAGTGATCCAATAAAAATATATCAGATTTCAGGTAAAAACACTCAGAGAAACCAAATGCTGTAAAGGTTTGGATGGTGGGTCCAGGTGGGCGGGGCTTGGTGACTGCTTTGTTGTGACATCACAAAGTTCCAGAAGTCCTGACGGCTGGTTTTAAGGCTCAGTTTCTGAATACAGGCTGTGTGCATTTCTCTGTGGACTGAGGCTTTGATACTTTCACAATATTAATATAGAACCTAGACCTTTAAATTAGAAACAGAATCACTTCCTGGTTGGAGAAGCTTGTTGTTCGTCACCTGCTCTGTAAACAGCTGATTTGGATGACTGAAATATTTTATGGGGATTTTGCTCCTTCCAGTTTCAATCCAATAAACCACGACTAATGTTACCACAGGTGTAACAGGGATTTACCTGCTCAGTCATTCACAAACCCACCGTGCTGCTGTGATGCATCACCCACCCACTGATGGAGACATGAAGGTGGAGCTAGCTGCACATGAAGACGTTCGCAGACAAAATGTTATTTGTTCTCCACCTCTGAGGTTGTGACAGACGTTTATTTTTTTTCCCGTTCAGACTGAGTTTCCTCTCCTGATGGAGTAGTCGGGGCGGCGTGACCAATCAATTGGAGGCTGCAGCCAACACGACGCCTGAACACGGGGCCTGAGAGAGAGAGAGAGAGAATCAGCGGGAACAAACCGAGGCCTGCAGCGGCGGCCGGCTCGCTGCGACCAAAGCTGCGAGCAACGCAGGAGTGTCAAGTCGATTCCCGTGACCTCGGGGACGGAGTTTCACTGAAGATGTCTTAAAGAGAACAGGAAGTGAACCGGAGCAGAGCTGCTTTCTCTCAGGTTAAAGAGCGACTCTATAAACTCCGGGAGGCGTTCACTAAACGTCCTGTGGCTAAAAGTAGCTCCCAGCTAAAATCCAAATATAAGACTCATTGATTCTTATCAATTTAAATCTGATATAATTTTTTATTCCTTCACGCCGGCGACGGTCAGAGCAGCAGCCATTTTGTTTTCAGGTTGTCCGTCCATCCGTCCTATTCCAAACGTTCATTTGGACTCAGTGACGAACTGTTTCGTGGTCAAAGGTCAAAGGTCAGAAAACACTTTTTAGCCATTACTGAAGACTTTACGCAGCAATTATAACAACATTTCACACAGATGCTTCATATTTTCTCTGACTCTGGATAAACAGGGATGTAACCTGGAACTAGTCCGAGTGGCGGAGGGATACGACCACAAGGACGCCTCCCTGTGGTAAGACCAGACTCTTAGTGAGTACAGCCTCAGAGCTGAACTGTGGGTCGGATCTTGTTCTTTGGTCGAGTAAATCTTTTAGGTTTCAGTCACATCTCCACCTCAAAGTCTCTCTGCCTCTTAAAATGTTAAAACTGGTAGTTTCACTGTGATATGATGTCAAACGTTTCTGTGTCTGCGGCTTAAACGAACAAGAACCACGAGCTGTTGCTTTGTCTTTGAGTCTGTGGAGTTTTAACAGCAGCGACTATGAAGTTCTTGAGGTCCGGGGGGTCGACTGACAGCTGCTGTGGTACTGATGATACTTTGATGGAGGAAACAGCCTCCAGGTCTTCATCCTAACGTAGTCCAGATCCGTGCGTCACTTTTACCCAGAACTTGGCTCTTAAAATGAGTTTCATAAAAATAATCTAAAACAATAATAAAACTCACTGATTGGTTGGAAATCCAAAGCCAAAGTTCTACATTCTGCGTCTGTAAGTACTCGAGGATCTGCGGTGTGAACCTCCACATACCCACCAGTTTGTTACGTCCGCTTGGCAACTACGCTACGAGGTCACCAATTGCACAGGAGCTCCAGTGGCTGCAGCAGTGTGCACGTATGGAACATATGGAGTAGAAATGAAAACGACTACATGTCCATGTATGAGTGAAGGTGAGAGAACGGAGACTTTAGGCACTACAAACATTCAGCGAAAAGAGAATCTGCTCATTTCTATCCTGATCTTAGTTTTATCATAAGAAGAAGAAGAAGAATGAAAAACAATGAATCTATGAATCTAAGATGCGGATGTGTTTTATAAAACTGACGTATCATCAGTATCAAAGTTGATCCAGATAATCTTATTAACTCCAGAACTTCTCTCCAGAATCTCTGGACACAGTCAGACAGAAACAGAGAGACGTTTCCTGCTCAAAGATTAAAATGATTTCATTCACTCTGCACATCGTCATTTTCCCATCACATCATTTTACCCACTCCCTCCTCCCCCTCCTCCTCCTCCTCCGGCCTGTGATCAAAGTCCTCAGACGGTTTTCATTCAGCTTTTAGAAACTGCTCAGGAACAAAACACATGCAGACAATTTCACCATTTTTTCAAGTGGATATGAAAACGAGATTCATTTTTGAAAACTTCAGAGGGATTTCCTGGACGTGCCTGGTTTGATTTCCAACAGAGCGAGCGACAGACGAAAACTCAGCTGCAGAAAATCCTCGAAGCACCAAGAAGAAAAAACATATTGATCTCAGCAAATTGCTCTTTTATTGAAAAGATCCTCGCTGATAAATGACGCTGCTGCAGGCTGCCATCATTACTGCGGACAGCAAACCGTAAACAGCCTGCAGACTGAGGCTTTGAGAGCAAGGCACTAACACTGGCAGGGTCTGGGGTTCAACTCCCACTGTTAGTATAAAGGAATCAACTACAGCAAATAATTAAACTAGAGAGAATGAAAGAAAAGAGTTCTAAGAAATTCAGGTTTCCATATGGATCTGGTTTATCTTGTCCATCAGAATCCATTGACAAGATTTTAAACAATAAATAAATATACATATACATTTTTATTTTATTTTTATTTATTTATTTTATTTAATTTTTTATTTAATCCTTGAAGATCAAGAGCATGAGGTTTCCCTCATGTGCAAAGATGTCGAATAAATAAATAAATAAAGACTAATTTTGCTTGATGGATATTTTTTGTCTCTTCCTGAATGGAGGTGAATAAAAATACATTTCTTTGCAGCATTTAAAGACGACCAAAATCAAAAACTGAGCACATACAAACAACATTATCTGTACAACTTTGTACCACAAAGTGGCAACTGAGAAAATGTTTTACTTTTAGGAGTTTAGGTGAACTGTCCCTTTAAGAGAAGTTCGGGGTAAAAAAAAAAAGGTAGAACAGGTAAAAAAGAAACATCTGACATCTTGATAGAAATGTGTTTGATCTTTAGACGGCAGCTCCTCTAAGTGTGGTGTATTAATGTCCACAGTGTGTCACAGTGACAATGATGGAGGTCAAAGGTCAAAGAGAAACAATAGCACGACTGATCGCAGGTGTAACAGCTTGTATTGATGTGATATTGTCTCATTGTTTTCCATGTGTGTGACACAGCAGTTTTATAAATATTAAAACAAAGAGTCTGTGTTAATAGTTACGGCCTGACATGTTAACCCTCTCAGTTCCCTACGTTCACCCCCGTGGAGTTTCTTTCCTCTCCCCTCCTGCTGCTGTTCTCCACAGGAGGAGGTAAGTGACGCCATGATCAGAGGAATCTCCACGTTTGAACCTTTCTGTTAAATTATGTTCACACTTAAACTCATTGTGTAGTAAAATATTGTGTCATTTCATTTGTGAAGGAGCTGAGTCACATGATCACAGCTGACTGGAGGATTTCTCGGAGAATAAAGATGGCCTCCACAGATATCCTGGTCGCTGCCTCTTCATCAAAACACAACACACACAAACCATGTACATGTGAAACAATAAAACATTTTTAAAATTTATATCTGTTAAATAAATGTTGAACAGATTTAACAGAGACCTTACTTTATTATAGACAGAAACCCAACCAGCACAGAAAAGTCTCTAACCCTCTGAGGCCGGCATTAAATTTATTAATTTTATTTACTTTTATTAATATTAACTAATATATATTAAAACAATAACTTTTCTGTTTTTTCATACTTTTGTGTTTTGTCTAAAAAGTTGTAAACGTTTCACCAAGTGTTACACAGATTCAGAATCAGCACAACCTCAGCTAATTATATGTCACTCAATAAAGACTCATATACAGTATAAAAGGGGATAGTGACCCATAAAACAAACAAAACAAAAACCTTGAATTTTATAGATAAAAGCTCAACAAACAGAATAATAATAATAATAGTGATAAAAGGTGATTTGAAGTTTCTATCTTTATCTGATCATGAGTTTTAATGTGTCTTCATATATTTCTGTCATTAATAAACTTCTCACTGTCAGAGTCAAATAAAAACAGTTTTGCTCCCACTTAGCTGAGCTATACAAGCGAGTGACAGCAAAGCCTCTGATTGGCTGTGACATCACCCGCCGGAGCCCGATAGGAAGGCCCAACTTGACACGTCACTAGCAAAGATGGCGGACGAGGATCAATCGATAAACACAAGGAAAGAAAGCAGCAGCGGCGCCAAGCGGATGGTAAGACTATCCAAATCTTTTGACTTTTAATTTTACTGTAACGCCGGAAGTGACGGACGGACAGGAGCTTGTTGGAGAGCAACGATTCTGTAGTTTAATGTCGACAAACGGCTTGTCTGTAGCTCAAAGCGTCGCGGAGCTATGACGCTCTAAAGACAGTGATACCTGGCAGCATGTACCTGCTGTGGGCTTCTGTTTATTTGAATAGTGCCGCAGGGATGACGTGTAAAATAACCCGGAAGTTAGCTTCACCCTGGTCCCCTCCACAAACAGCCAATAGGATTTCTCCGTTGTGTTTTGGATTATTAGAGAAAAATAAAACCAGTTTCTGAGATTTAGTTCAGCAGGATCATCTTCAATAATAAACATCACTGTATGATGTTTGAAGCCTCAATACAATCAGAAGTAAAAAGCTAGCTAAAAGTTAGGCTGTAAACCAACTACACCAGGGTCACATGATGTCAACACCTGGTCACATGACGTCACCATCACTAAACTTCAGGTGTAGCTCTGTTTAGCTCTGGCCTCTTTTACAAAAGCTTATAAAGTTGTTTTTTAAAGCTCGTTTGCTTGTTTAGTTTGAGTTTAGTTTCTATTAGTTTCAGTTATTTTTTATTTTTTTGTAATATGTTTTAATTAATATGTTTATTTTGTGTTTTAGTCAGGGGCGAGACTCTAAAAGATAAACCAACTCAAAATGAACTTGTCAACAAACTTTTTTTTTATAAAGCCTTGTATTTATTTTTATTTCAGTTAACGAAAATGGTTTTTCACATCTGGTTTTCGTGATTTGGTCAGTTTTAGTTAAAGATAACCATGGTAGAGTTTAAACACAACGAGGCTGTAAAGGTGGACTGTGGTTTCATGTTCAACCTGTTGACGGTTATCATCCCCAACAACCTCTGTAGTCTCATTCAAAAACTTGTTAGTAACCGAGACGTAAAAGCTTCAAGAATCAGGACTGGGGTATTTACTGATACTTCAGGACGAGGGAACAGGAAGTGATGAGATGAAACTAATCTCCAGGTTTTAGGACTCACCTGACAGATACCACTCTCCATCAGCACAGGCTGAGTCTGCCTGACTGTCAGAAAGACCGCCCTCTGTGAATCACCCTCTTTGAGTTCACATAAAGATGCAGCAGCATCGCCCTAAAGACAACTCACCTCCAGCTTCAGTTTGGTTCATAATTCATCCGCGGTTTATGTAACAAATTCTTTTTTCCAGTTGTGATAAATGTGAAATGAATTATAGAAAAGTCTCTGCCTCAGACCTGTTAATATTATTTCAAAATAAAACATCTCTCTCTCTGTCTCTCAGCTGACTCAGCCTGTCAGGGGGCGGGACCTGCAGGCTGTCACTCAGCCTGGCTCCTGTTCTGTGATTGGCCTCTCTCCTCCGGGGTGGGAGGTGCCGACGGAGCCACATGGAGGCTGCTGGGTGTCTCTGCGCCGCTCAGTCTGATCCATCCTCCGGTGGAGACAGTGGAGACGCTCCGGACACTCTGAGGCAACTTGGCGCATCATCCTCATCCTCATCATCTTCTTCATCTGTACAGAGGAAACATTACAGCTGAACCGAGACAAATATTATTTTTATCATCACTTCTGCTGATGTTATTATATTTTTCTACCAGAACCACGGAGAGAAAAAGGCTGATGCTGTTTCGTTTGTGCGTAAAAGTCTCTTGATTGAATTGTTAATCACCAGGAGAGGAGAGAACCATCGGCCTCGTGCTCTTACTGATATTTTCCCTTTGCGCACTCATGGACTTGGAGCTCTTCTGGACTCACGGAACCAGATTCAGGATTTCAGACTGAAGATTTCAAGTGAATCGCTGAAGGAATTGACGAATATTTGTTCCTGTATGAGGGAACTTTGCTCCTTTCGGGACTGAAATCTTTATTTTTACGCATCAAGTCCTTGGATCTGGATCAGAATCAGGGACGGACACTTTTCTGCACCTGAACCGGGTTTTGATGGAAGCATGACCAAAGCTGCGAACGGACCGGTTACCCTGCACAGCCGCCTCCTGCTCCACCTGCTCCCGCTGCTGCTGCTGCTGCTGCTGCAGCTTCATGTCTCACCGGTGTGTCTGTCCGCGCAGCGCGGCCACACAGCGCGCTACTTCGGCGAAATAGCCGAGAACTCTGCAGCTGGGACGCCGGTGGACGGGGTGATGCTGCCGGTGGGGACCGGCGGCTGCCCCGGTGCGGACCTCAACACCAGCCTGAAGGGGGATTACGCTTCGGATTTTAGGCTTGTTCACCTCCGCGGACACCGGGACCACCGGGGACACCTGGGTCTGGTCTCCGCCAAAGAGCTGGACCGGGAGTTTATAGCGATGTACGAGCTGAGGGTGCAGCTGCCGCCGCGGTGTCTGAGGAGACCGGCGGCCGTGCAGGTCGAAGTGTCCGACCGGAACGACAACATCCCCCGGTTCACCCGCGGGAACATGACGGTTGAGGTGGACGAGCTGACGCCGCTCGGTACCGAGCTGGCCCGCTTTGACGCAAAGGACGGAGACGCGGAGCGGAACGGACGCGTCACCTTTTACGCGTCACCGGAGTCTCACCTGCTCCACGTGGTTCCTCAGACCGGGCAGGTGAGGCTGGTCGGGTCCTTGCAGGGGGTGCGCCTGGTGACTCTTCGCCTTTACGTGAAGGACGGCGGAGACGTGGCGCTGATCGGTGAGCCGGTGTTCCTGCGCGTCAGCGTCCACCGCTCCGGCGGAGCGCGGCGGAGGCCCCGGGCTCTTTCCGAGGAGCTCACCTACTCAGTGACCGTGCCGGACCACGTCAGAGTCGGGGACCTGGTGTTCACGGTGCCGGACCAGAGGTTCGAGCAGCGGTGGTTCGAGGTGATCTCTGAGGCGGACTCGCCGGTCCAGATCGAGCGGGACTCGGGGCGTCTGTACCTGGCGCGCAGCCTGCGGGAGCCCGCCGAGGTGACGGTGAAGATCCAGAACCTCCGAGGTAAGAAGGTTTCTTCTTTTCGTGCGTAAAAACACAAAAGCCCGGCAGAGTCCGGGTCCTGGTGCCGCTGATGTGTCATGTTCACATGTTGCTGGATTTATTGATGAAGCTGTTTATGAATGTGTGGATCTCCACACTGCAGCCTGCTCATTTGTCTGGTTGGTTTGTTTGTTTCCATCATGAACTCAACAAGTTTTAGAAAAGAAAATTTCACCTTCACTCTGTTTCAACAACTCAAGGTGTCTGTGTGTGTGAAGTGTCAGCGGCTCTTTAAAACACCTGGATGTTTTTCCTGAACAGTTGCAGGTGAAAAACTGTTGCAAAGAGAAACTGCAGATAAACCAAAGGAGAATCAGTAGAAGTGATTTTATTGTGGTTTTTGTCTTTGAGAGTTTTGTTTAAAAAAATGTGCAGGGCCTGCACCAGATTTAACAAATGGAGGGGTCAAAGGTCACCTTTGATGTCAGAGTAATGGTCTTCCAATGTCGTTTTTTTAGCTCTTTTTGCTGAATTTTCCTTCAATGATTGAGAGAGGTGGTCATTCACTGAGGTGTGTGTGTGTGTGTGTGTGTGTGTGTGTGTGTGTGTGTGTGTGTGTGTGTGTGTGTTGGCTCCTTTCCAGCAGAGTTTGAATCGACCTCAACCGTCAGCTGCTACTTTCCACTCTTTCATTCATTCCTTACAACACTCCTCACATCACAGCCAAGGCAGTGTGTGTGTGTGTGTGTGTGTGTGTGTGTGTGTGTGTGTGTGTGTGTGTGTGTGTGTGTGTGTGTGTGTGTGTGACAGAGAGAGAGAGAGGCAGGGATTGCTGGCAACACACCGAGCAGGTCGTTAAAGGACAAACAGAATTGACAGTGTTTAGTGTATGAGGTGAACAGAGTAAACACACCTCAGTCACTTTCAAAATGCCGTTAATACACACACACACACACACACACACACACACACACACACACACACACACACACAGGCCTGGCTGCAGCTGATAATTTTCTGTTCTGTTATTTTTCTTTTTAGCAGAAAAAAAGGCTTTTGACAAAAGTTGAGTTTGTTTTGCTGCTTCACTCTCAACAGGTCACTCACCAGACGACAACAGACTGTTTGTCAGAGCAGATGGTTAAAAAACAGTTTATACGAGAATTCATGGTCAAGTTGTTTTTCTTTAGACTGAAGTTTTATTCCATATTTTCTTCTTCCGTGTTTTATTTGAAGTGTTGATCCATCAGAAGATATAAAAACTATCTCAGTGTAGTTTTACATCTCCTCTCTCAGGCTTCTCTCTGGAGCTCTAGTAACAACAGGTCGGTGAGCCAATCAGAAGAGAGGAGGCTCTGAGCCTCTCTTCTGATTGGCTGACTGTTTTCTGACTGATCCAATAAAAATAAAGCAGATTTCAGGTAAAAACACTCAGAGAAACCAAATCCTGTAAAGGTTTGGATGGTGGGTCCAGGTGGGCGGGGCTTGGTGACTGCTTCGTTGTGACATCACAAAGTTCCAGAAGTCCTGACGGCTGGTTTTAAGGCTCAGTTTCTGAATACAGGCTGTGTGCATTTCTCTGTGGACTGAGGCTTTGATACTTTCACAGTATTAATATAGAACCTAGACCTGATCTATAATCACACTACACATGGACAGAGACCTTTACACTGGAGGAGCTTTAAGTTTTCACTGAAGAAGCTCGTTTGGAGCTGACAGACTAAATTCAGGGTAAATAAAACACCCCAGACCAGTCAACTCCTTCCACAGCAAACTGGGAGAAACTAGTTCATGAAACAGGAAAGAGACAGAAATATTGATCCCCCTCCTGGTTTGTTGGAGCGACATCAGACCGAACCAGAAACACAGAACCAATGTTAAAGTCCACATACTTCTGGACATTTAGTGTAAATACATGTTTTGACAGTGAGTGAATTCTTGCTGCAATAACTTTAGAAAACTGTAGAAAAGCACATTTTCTTTCTGCTGTAATCAGTTATTACCTGTTATTGATTATTTCTAATACTCGAACAACCTGCCAACACAACAACAACGACACATCAACCAAACTGAAGTGTGTAGGTGTCAGTGTGCTGCAGCTGATCTGTTTGACAGGATGAAACGACGTCCAGATGCCAATGTGATCACAACCCCCCCCCCAAAGTAAATGTTTAACCAAGAGCCTAAACTCCCCACATCTGGACGGCAGTGGTGGCGGCGGCAGCTCGGCGTTCTGGTCAGATCTGGCTAATCAGTCCGTCCAATCTGCATCTCCGCTGTTTATTTGTAGAAATTAGTGATGTTTGCTCACCTGGAGCTCTCCCAGCGCCGAGCCGCCTCCCACAGGAAGCTGTGTTTGTGCTGAAGCAGACTGCAGAGCTCTGGTTTGTGGCTGTGGAGGGAGAGTGTGTGTGTGTGTGTGTGTGTGTGTGTGTGTGTGTGTGTGTGTGTGTGTGTGTGTGTGAGTCGGTCGACACGGCGCTGAGCATGCTGTAAACTGGCCGGTTGATTGAGGCGGCCTGTCTTTCGTCTGCGGTTGTGATTTTGATCTGTGGGAACGAGGTCATGGCGGCTGATGGAGGCAGAGCGCCGGCCTCTGATTGGTCAGCTCTGTCTAAACTTTAGACTGTCTGAGTTTCATCACTTCATCCTCTGGTCCCGCTCACTCTTCCTAACTCTCTGGTTTCCATCACCTTCCTCCACAAGCTTCATCCACCTCTTCTCTGATTAGTGTTCACACTCTTCTTCTTTCTTCTTCTCTCTGCTGCTGTAGCCGTCACCGTGGAGGTTGTAGTCACAGTGTTGTTGATTGGAGTTTTCTGAGTGATCCAATAAAAATAAAGCAGATTTCAGGTAAAAACACTCAGACAAACCAAATCATTCAAGGTTTGGATGGTGGGTCCAGGTGGGCGGGGCTTGGTGACTGCTTTGTTGTGACATCACAAAGTTCCAGAAGTCCTGACGGCTGGTTTTAAGGCTCAGTTTCTGAATACAGGCTGTGTGCATTTCTCTGTGGACTGAGGCTTTGATACTTTCACAGTATTAATACAGAACCTGGACCTGATCTATAATCACACTACACATGGACAGACCTTTACACTGGAGGAGCTTTAACATTTTGCATATTTAATTAAAAATGGAGTCTTCCATCTGGTTATTTTGTCTGCAAATGGTTTAATTGAATTTTCAGCAACTTTCTGATCACAATATAGAAAATTTTATCCATATTACCAATAACCAAAGACAGGAAGCACACACTCAGACACACCTCACCTCCTGTATATTATAAATGCTGCACACACGACCCTCACAGCACACACACACACACACACACACACACACACACACACACACACACACACACACAGAGACACAGGCTCTCTCTCTCTGTGTGTGGCAGCTCGTCCATCATTGCGGATGGCAGCAACTCTACTGAGTCTGTTTTATCCTTGACATTCAATAAATGTACATAAAACACACACACACACACACACACACTCTACTTTGCCCTCTTGTTTATGTGTGGAGGCCACGACCTCGGGCAGTTTTCCTCTTGTGTTTGTGAAACTAGTTTCCTCTTCTTATATAAACTGTGTGTGTGTGCGTGTGTGTTTGTGTGTTGGTCAATTGATTATTGATTTGAACTAAAAATGACGAGCAGCTTGAAAACAGCTCTGCACAACAGTTGGAAACAAAAACAGAAGAAGAAGAAATGAAAGTCATTTAAACTTGCGTGAAAACAAAACAGCGACGCAGGTTGTCGATCAGTGATGTCATCAGTGTGTGGATGAGGAGAAAAATCACAATTAAACAAGAATACTAACATCCTGTTCACCCTCTGAGGTCAGCGGATGTTTCCGTTGACGTCATCACAGCGTAGAAATCTGTCGACTCTCATCTTTCCTTTATATATTCTCACTAAGTCACACGTGACTCACCGGAGTAGGTCTCACTGATATTTACTGTCATGTTGCACTGTTTTTAATGAACCTACAGACTGTGGTGAACACGTCTCACGCACCACAACAAATCGTAAAGGTTTTCTTTTCACAAGAAACGAGGCAGTGACAGTGATCTCTTTGCTCCGTGACAAAAAGCAGCTGAGCTTGTTCTGAAAATCATGATATGAAACACTTGGGTCTTATATTATATGTAAGAACCTTTTAAAGGTGAATTTAAGAAATAATGTAGCTCAGTGTAATTCACAGTGTAGTGTTTGAAGGAGCTGCATCTGCTTCTTCTCAGCTTTAATCTGTTGTGTTTTCGTGGTGTTTTCCTGTGTTTGGATGGGACACGTTCTCTGTCCTCCTTCACAGGTCAGCAGCGTCATTATTTGGAAATCACCGGGGCTGGATCCTGATCTGGATCTGGTTCTGGATCTGGATCTGGTTCTGGATCTGGATCTGGTTCTGGATCTGGTTCCAGTTGGTTGATAAAGTCCTCCGGACTCGTTAAGCTCCGAGGTTCATGAACGTCTCATCTAATCTGTCACGTGTCATGTGCTGTGTGCGGCGTTCAGGTGAGCAGACTCCTCCGCTGGATGATGGATCCAGTCAACTGTCCCTGGTGGTGGATTATATTAGCTGTGGCTAATGATGCTAATTCCATATGTGACTTTGCCCACGAGCCAAAATGAGTCTTGGGTCCAGGCTGTCGTCTGGTAAATGTGCTTTTTGGAAGCCTGTGTGTGTGTGTGTGTGTGTGTGTGTGTGTGAGAGTGTGTGTGTGTGTGTGTGTGTGTGTGAGAGTGTGTGTGTGTGTGTGTGTGTGTGTGAGAGTGTGTGTGTGTGTGTGTGTGTGTGTGAGAGTGTGTGTGTGTGTGTGTGTGTGTGTGAGAGTGTGTGTGTGTGTGTGTGTGTGTGTGAGAGTGTGTGTGTGTGAGTGAGTGAGTGATCTTTAAGACCAGGGCATTTCTCTCCATGAACAGCCAGTAAATATTTTAAGATCGTAACATTTCAAACCTGATTCCACACAAAGCTGATGAACCAGATGAAACAAATAAAACATGAACACAACTTCAG